TGTGGTTTACAGTCCCTTTCATTAGAGTTAAGTTATTGCTAGACATGTAGGTGTAGAAATGGCTTTCAAGAATACCTCTGGTACCCACTGTGCAGACTCATCTGGCATTATGACCCAAAGTTGTAGGACCAGAGGTCATATCTTGATACAAGCGGCATGTAGATTGTGAAGGAGAGACAGGGTTTAAAATGTATGAAGCCAGGGGCTTGCCCAGTTGCCTAGTGGTTAAGTTCCGTGTGATCTGCTTTGGCAGCCTGGGTTCGGTTCCTGGGCATGGACCTACACCACTCATCAAGCCGAGCTGTGTTGGCAACCCACATACAAAATAGAGGAAGACTGGTACAGATGTTAGCTCAAGGTAAATCTTCCTCAGCAAAAAAAAAAAAAAAAAAAAAAAATGTATGAAGCCAGAAGCTAGTCTGTGGAAAATTCTTCCAAACATCACACTGTGAAATTTTAAGTGGAGGATTCAGTTATCACTAACACCTAGTATAGTAGCAAGCATTCAAGATAGACCCCAATGGTCTCTGCCTTCTGTTATTCATGCCCTTGCTTAGTCCCCTCCCAAATTATGTCGGGGCCAAGGTATGTGATCAACAGAATACAGAAGAAGCAGTATGTCTTTATGATATGTCACTTCCAAGGCCAAATCATAAAAAGCAACCCAGCTTACAGCTTCTGTTTTGGTCTCCCTCTTTCTCTCACTCTGGGGGAAGCCAGCTGACCATATCCTGAGAAGCCCCATGGAGAGGCCCACAGCCCAAATGGCAAGAAACTGAGGTCTTCTGCAAACAGCTGTATGAGTAAGCTTGGAAACAGAGCCTCAAGCCCAGGTCAAGCTCCAGATGACTTGTTGACCTGACCAACAACTTGGTTACAACCTCATGAGAAATCCTGAACCAGCACCACCAGCCGCCCTGCTCCTGAACTCCAGACCCACGGAAACTGTGAGGTACTCAATGTTTGTTGTTTTCAGCCACTCAATTCTGGGATAATTTATTACGTAGTAATAGATAACTAACATCTAGTAAAAAATGCTAGTTCTGTCCTGGTCAAGAATATATTCAGTGGGGCTGGCCCAGTGGCGCAAGTGGTTAAGTGCGCGCGCTCTGCTGCGGTGGCCTGGGGTTCGCCGGTTCGGATCCCGGGCGTGCACCAACACACTGCTTGTCAAGCCATGCTGTGGCGCCGTCCCATATAAAGTGGAGGAAGATGGGCATGGATGTTAGCCCAGGGCCAGTCTTCCTCAGCAAAAAGAGGAGGATTGGCAGATGTTAGCACAGGGCCGATCTTCCTTACACACACAAAGAATATATTCAATAATTCAACAAAGTCTTAGTGCTTATACATGTAAGGAACTTAATAGACGTTTCTGTAAATTTGGCAACAATCTTTTTTTTTTTTTTAATTTTTTTTTTTTATTTTTTCCCCCCAAAGCCCCAGTGGATAGTTGTATGTCGTAGCTGCACATCCTTCTAGTTGCTGTATGCGGGACTCGGCCTCAGGATGAACGGAGAAGTGGTGCCTCGATGCGCACCCAGGATCCGAACCTGGGCCACCAGCATCGCAGCGCGCGCACTTAACCACCAAGCCACAGGGCCGGCCCTTGGCAACAATCTTATAATTTTCATGACATTATCAATAAGTTGTGAAGTTGAAAGAAACTTTTCTAAACTTATTAATAAAATTATTTTTTATTAAAGATGCCAGAGGAAAGACTGATTTATTTTTTATTCTCTTTATAGAAAATATTACAAAATTGTTGTCATATGAGGGGGCAATCAAAGAGTATTCAGCTAAGTACATAGAAAAATATACTATAGAAAATTACAGAATTTATTGGTAAAAAAAATTATGACCTTTTTTTAATGTATGTGGTATAGTTATTTTTTCCATGTGTAATTTGTTGTAATTTCCTTTCCTAGTCTAAATAGATATTCACTTTTGAATCTAATTTTGTCTCAATAATTTTGCATTCTTTTTCTACAGGCCTCTATAAAATCTTTGCTCTCACATTGGACATCCTAAAACGTTTTGTCAGTTATTTACTGACAAGGTCTAGAGACTGTTTCATTTAGATTCAAGGTAGTGTGTGAGTAGGGGGACTCTGGCATTGTGACCTTGGTCTGGGTCCTTTACCCCCTTATAACAGACCAGGGCAGCTCACACGCACCCTGAGAATTCCGTTTGTGTCTGTGGAGGGATCCCCACGTGGGCTCTCCCCTGGCCTGCAGACCATCTCCAGACTCATCTGCCCTCTTCCAAGTCTCTATTACTCTGTTATCTTTCTTTTCTCTCTTCAGCGAGACTAATGGAAACTGAAACATGACTATTTCCATCAAAAAGGAACTGGTGAAACTTATTGCAAAACAGCCTTACCATGGTATGCGAGTTGTTAAAAAGAATAAAGTAGCCCTCTAAGCACTTATGATCATTAAAAGATAGTCAAGATACATTGCAAAGTGGAAAAAAAAAAAGCAAATTGCAGAACAATATGTATAGTATTAGCTTGTTCTTATCTTAAAAATACTGTATTTCATTCATTCTAAGATGCACATCCTTTCAAATTTTAATATCTCTGATCAATGGCCTATCAGAGTTTTTTGGCAGTTTTTTTCTTTTTGAGGTCTGTAAAATAGGATGCATCTTATAAGCAATGATACCTGAGATTTGATGAAATACGATGTAACTATACATAGCATCCCAATCCGACCAGGACTGCAGCTTGGAAAGTCCTAGTCTGGAAAACCCTTCAGCTGTTTGGAAAGCTCTCTTAAATTGAAAAATCCTAGCTGTTGTTGCACAGACAGAAATCGGTTAGCAGAAACCTGCTTGGTTGGTTGACTTGGAAATTACAGAAGTACTGTCTTGTAAGGCAGGGATTGAGGCTGGGATTCTAATGTGTGGCTTCTCAACATCTTAGTCCCTTTTGAAAGGAGATAAAAACCCAAGTGTGAAGAGACTCAGGACCCCTCTGACCTGATATATACGGAGTCGCGGGCTGGCTGGGACTCCCTCACCAAGCTGGGAGCTGGCAGAACAAGCCGGAGAAGAAATAAAAGGTGCCTGGAGTCCCACCTGCTTTACCATCAAGTGTATCCTTTTTTAGTAGCAGAACTATATCCTTTACCTGACCTGAGGTCGCTAAAATGTTACTACCTAAGCAAGTTCTGTTGAGTCACTAACCTAGGGGGCATCTCGGGGTCCTACTAGATCAGTGTAATGTATCTAAGTATATTTGCATACCAAAAAGTTAGAAAGAATATATGCTAGATTAATGAGATTATTTCTCAGGAACGAGATTAATGGAGATTTAAACGTCTACTCTCTGTATTTCTGTATTATTTACATTTGTAAAAGACCACTTATATGTATTACTTTTATAATCGGAGAAAAAGGTAAAGCCATTCAACTGCGAAAATACAGACTAATGTTAGTAATGAAGCCCGGAGGCGCCTGCTGCTGTCTGCCCTTTTCACGCCCCAACCCTCAGGAACTTTTTAAGGAACATGAATTGTTTTTCCAACACAAAAATTTGTTTTAAGAAATAAAACTCTCCCCAAACCCAATTTCACTTCTTCAGATAAAAATAAATGCTCAAATCTTTCAACATTACATGGGAAAAGTAGTTTATTTCTAAATTAAACGTACGCACGGTTCGGACGATTTATTCATTAAGCAAACACTTTGGTAAGAATAAACTGAGCGCCTACCGTCTGATAGACACAGTTCTCGCACCTTTCTCGCTTATTACCTCATTTGGCTTAAAAAAAAAAAAAAGTTTTTTTTCAATCGAAGATGGTTTCAAGAAACCCGTTAACTTCCTACAACGCCTTCCTTGGAAACGAAGGGACCCGCAACACCCAAGCCCCCACCCCGCTCCCGTGACCCCGTGACCGGGCAGCCATCTTAGGCATCGCCTCACAAAGGGGACTACGTCTCCCAGAATCCTCGCGCGCGCGTCACGCTGGCACTTCTACTGGCCGGGTCTGAGCGCGGGGCTGGGAGCCGGGCGCCATCTTTGACGCTGGCAGTCCGGGGTTTCTGCTGGTGGTGTTGCTGTGCGGACGGCGGGCGGCAGCGGCGAAGAAAGGAGAAAGACGAGGCAGCGAGTGGGAGTCGGAGGCAGTGTCGTCGGTTCGGTAAAGTTCTGTTCTCTGGTAACTGGACCCGTTTTCTGATTCCCGGTGGCTCGGGGCCGGGGAGGTGGGCGAGAGGGCGAGGGGAGTGGCCGCGGCCTCCCCTCGCCCCGGGTCGCGGCCCAGCCCGGGAATTCCGAGCGGTCCTCGGGCCCCGCTGTGACGCCCCCTTCCCGGCCGCGGCCCTCGCCCCCCGCTCCCGCTCCGTGCCGGCGTCCGCCACCCCCCGGCGTCGGCCCCTCCAGCCCCCGCCCCCACATCCGGTGTCGGCCGAGTGGAGCCCCGCCTGCCCGCTCCCGGGAGGGCAGCGGAGCGCCGTCCTCCGCAGCATCCCTAGTGTAGCGGGCCCCGCTGCCCGGCCGAGCCGAGCGCCGGGAGCCGAATTCACCAGCTCTGGTTCGTCTCCAGGGCCCTCCACAGAGAGCTCCGACTTCACTCCGGCCCCCGCCCGCCCTCGGCACGGAGCCGGGAGCCGAAGGGGCCTCCGCTCTCCCGGGGACTGAGAGACCGTAACGAAGAGCGCCCCTAACTCCCTAGTCGGTGCGGACTCCTATGGGGAAGGCCCGGGTTGTTGACATCTGCCGGGCCTTGGTTCTGGACCTTGAGGAGGCGGTGGAGCTAGTGATAGCGATGTTATTCAGGGTAAATGTTTGTAGGTATTGGGGGAAGGGGAGGGATCGAGCGAGAAGGAATGGAAGTGGTAGTTTAAAGCTCATGTTTCAGTTTTCGTGGCTCATGTAGAGTCCAGCTTATGAGTTACTCATTTACAGGCTGTAAAACTTCTCCCGTCTCAAAATGTCTGAAAACTAAAGTTGGATTAACTCTTGATACAAACAGTAAATTGAAAATGCAGCTTGTGTCCTTGTTTTTTAATTTCACTCTCAAAGCATTTTTTTAGCCACTTAACATTTTTAAAAATTGTATTACTTTTAGTTAGAGCTGAAAGGGCTCAGCTAGCATCTGCTGTTAATGACCAGTATGTGGAGTCTGATTTAGCTTTCCAGAATTGACTTTTTGGGTTGTGTTGGCAAATCACAGTCCTAAATGATGAACGTTGAATGATGCACTATGTTTTTGTTCAAGTGAAATTTCCTGAACATAATTAATTTCAGAATTAAGGGAAATTGATGTTATCATGAGGCACCATAAAAAACTATATTTTAAAAGCTGAAGGCATTTCAAGCAGATGTAGTTCTTGATGAAGCAGAGAGAACATGGGCCTGTGATTTGGGAGACCTGGCTTCTAGCTGCTACTGACCAACTCTGACTCTGGGAAAGTGGGCCTCAGTTCTTTTTTCTGTAAAGTGAGGAGATTGGACTGTTTGAATTCAGAACTCGGAAAGTTGGAAGGGATCTTAAAGCCCTCTAAGAAAGAGTTTGGGAATGTTCTTCATTGCTGTCACTTTTCCTCCAAAAATAACCTGGCTTGGAAATCATTGGTCCAAAGGGAATTTGACTCCCCAGAGAAATCGGAGAAAAGGTAATACAAGTAGAGAGGAACAGCTGTATTTCTGCTTGAGTAATAAACCCAACAGATTCTGGTACGAATTTTGGAGACGTAAAGAGAATGAGTGTATGTACCTTAAGTGTAGCAGTTTCCTCACTCTCTCCTGGCAGAAGACGCAGCACTTTTAGTAGTGCTGGGATTCGGGGATGTGTTCCGATTAATTCTAATACAGATGAAGAAGATGTGGTAGAGGGAAAGATGGTGGCAGAAGGAATGGATAAAGAGACAAAATTGCCCGCTAAAAAGAAAAAGAAAAAGGGTTTGCGAATTAAGGGGAAAAGGCGACGGAAAAAACTGATCCTTGCAAAAAAGTTTGGTAAGGATTTGGGATCTGGGAGGCCTGTTGCAGACGCCACTGCTTTGTTAGCTTCCAGTGCTCCTGAGCAGGATGATGAAAGTCCTTTTGAGAGCAATATAGAAAAACAGATCTATCTGCCTAGTACCAGAGCCAAGACTTCCATTGTGTGGCACTTCTTTCATGTTGACCCCCAGTACACCTGGCGGGCTATTTGTAACCTCTGTGAAAAAAGTGTTAGCAGGGGTAAACCAGGCAGCCATCTTGGGACATCTACCCTTCAACGACATCTGCAGGCAAGGCATTCACCTCACTGGACCAGAGCCAACAAATTGGGAGTCACTAGTGGGGAGGAGGATTTTACTTTGGATGTACCTTTATCTCCTTCTTCTGCTGGAAGCAATGGAAGCTTTGAATATATCCCAACTGATCCATTAGATGATAATAGAATGGGTAAGAAAAGAGATAAATCAGTATCTGATGTCCTGAGGGCAGAAAGAGGGAGATTTCTCATCAAAAGTAACATTGTCAAGCATGCCTTAATTCCTGGAACAAGAGCCAAGACATCTGCAGTTTGGAATTTTTTTTATACTGATCCTCAGCACATCTCAAGAGCTGTGTGTAATATATGTAAAAGAAGTGTGAGCCGGGGTAGGCCAGGATCTCACTTAGGAACTTCAACACTTCAACGACACCTGCAGGCCACACATCCCATCCATTGGGCTGTTGCCAACAAAGACAGTGGTGCAGTTGGAAATGGGTTAGATGAGCCTGAGCCTGAGAGAAATGATCTCGTGAGCGATACTTTGCATGGAGAGAAGTCTACAGGCAGCCAAGATTTAACAGCTGAGGACCTTAGTGACTGCAATTCAGATGAACCTCCTGTGTTAGAGGTTAAAAATACAAGAACTGAGAGTCCTATTCTTGTTGCAGACCAAGATGCTCTGATCCTTGCAGAGGAGAGAGAAACAGCATATTGTGAAAATTCAGTCTCAAGTCAAATAAGTCAGGCAATTATTCAAATGATTGTGGAGGATATGCATCCTTACAACTACTTCTCAAGCCCAGCCTTTCAGAGGTTCATGCAGATTGTGGCCCCTGACTATAGGTTACCATCTGAGACTTACTTTTTCACTAAGGCTGTACCTCAGTTATATGATTGGGTCAGAGAAAAAATTTTCTTAACTTTGGAGAATGTTCAAAGCCAAAAGATCCACCTGACTGTGGACATATGGACCCATGACCCATCCACTGATTATTTCATTGTGACTGTACACTGGGTCTCCTTGGAAACTGTACCTTCTTCCAATAATGGCAGGATCTCCAATTTTAGAAAGTGGGCAGTACTTTGTGTAACAGGTTTGGCCAAAGACTGTTTGATAACCAACATTTTACAAGAATTAAATGACCAGATTGGTCTGTGGCTTTCTCCTAATTTCCTCATCCCTAGCTTCATTGTTTCTGACAATTCCTCTAATGTGGTACATGCAATCAAAGATGGCGGTTTTACCCACGTGCCGTGCTTCCTGCATTGTTTAAATATAGTCATTCAGGACTTTTTCTGTGAGCATAAAAGCATTGAGAATATGTTAGTGGCTGCTAGGAAAACCTGTCATCATTTTAGTCATTCAGTCAAGGCCCGTCAGATCCTGCAAGAGTTCCAAAATGATCACCAACTTCCATGGAAGAATTTGAAGCAAGATGAAACTGGCCATTGGATTTCTACCTTTTATATGTTAAAATGGCTCTTGGAGCATTGCTACTCAGTTCACCATAGTCTTGGTAGAGCCAGTGGAGTTGTGCTCACCTCCCTTCAGTGGACTCTAATGACTTATGTCTGTGATATTCTTAAACCATTTGAAGAGGCCACCCAGAAAGTGAGTGTGAAGACCACAGGATTGAATCAGGTGCTACCCCTAATCCATCATCTACTCCTTTCCCTGCAGAAACTCAGAAAAGATTTTCAAGTCAGAGGTATTACTCAGGCCCTCCATCTGGTGGACAGCTTATCTCTGAAGCTTGAAACTGACACCATACTAAGTGCCATGCTCAAATCCAAGCCCTGTATCTTGGCTGCTTTGTTAGATCCTTGCTTTAAGAATAATTTGGAAGACTTTTTCCCTCAGGGTGCTGATTTAGAAACTTATAAGCAGATCCTTGCAGAAGAAGTTTGTAATTATATGGAATCTTCACCAGAGGTCTGCCGTATTGTAACTTCGGAAGCTTCTGGTCCTTCAGCTATAGTAGGAGCTGATTCATTTACCTCATCTGTAAGAGAAGGCACCTGCAGTTCAGGATCTATTGATAGCTCAGCTGCAGATAATGTTGCCACTGGAGGCAAAAGCTTCATGCTTGCTTCTGCTATAGCAGCAGTGGATGAATACTTCAAAGAGAAGTATCCTGAGATCTCAGGAGGTGATGACCCTTTGATTTACTGGCAGAGGAAGGTGAGCATATGGCCAGCTTTGACCCAAGTTGCCATTCAGTATCTAAGCTGCCCCCTGTGTAGTTGGCAATCTGAATGTATCTTTACTGCAAATAGCCACTTTCATCCAAAGCAGATCATGAGCCTAGACTTTGACAATATAGAACAGCTGATGTTTCTGAAAATGAACTTGGAAAATGTTAACTATGATTATTCTACGTTAGTTCTGAGCTGGGATCCTGAGAATGAAGTTGTTCAAAGCAATGAAAAAGAAATATTATCCTAATTTCTTTTTCCTTTCTCCATTTAAAATGGGCAGCTTATTGCTATGTTACTGTATCCTAATTGCTATAGTTGTTATATGTAGTTAGACCAATTCTTTATATGCACATCTGGGGAAACCTGAAAAGACAAAAAGGGCTGAAAATTCCTCAGAGGTAATGTTGACAAAGTGAAGATTAAAGATTTCACAGTGGTAACTCAATATAGCCGTCACTTGAAATTTTGTTTATACCAATTGAGAAAGAAAAGATATTTTTTAAATAAAAAAATATAGTGCAGCATTGGAAGGCTTTAGGCTGGTAGATTGAACTAGTAATTGGTTTTAAGTAAAAATTTCTCCCAACATGGGAAGTTTGATTGCTCTGAAACCAATGAAATTGAGAAAAAAGCATACTAAGCTGGTATCCCCCCCCCATTTTTCTATTTCTTTAAAAATCCTAATTCGTATTTACAGCTTGGCAAAAGCAAAACTCACTAAATTGTTTTATATTTGGAAATTTCTAATTGCCTCCTCATACTGGTCACCTTTAAAATTTCAACTTACTGAGTGTGATAGAGTTACCCTTTATATTTAGGATTGGATCTATATAAAAGAGACACATTGGAAAACAATTAGGAAAAAATTACTTTTAGTCTTTGAATTGCCTTTTTTAACCTTTACAAAATAGTGTAAAAAACAGTAAAATAAAGATTGTATAGGTACTTTTACATAATTTATGGGTAAATGACGTAATAAGAAGTTTACAAAATTGAAAAAGATTGAACAGGAATTGGAATGAAAAGCCCCATGAGCATACTTTGACAAACCCAGTATCCATTTCCCGAAGAATGTTTCTGTAATTTTAAGTGATCTTACTTGTCTTCAAAAAAATACACCGAATGATCCATAATACTACATTCTTAACTATGAGATTGTTTTGGCCTCTATTCTTAATGAAAAATAAGCAGTCAGTATTTTCACGTGTTAGGAATCATTGCTTCACTGGTTAAAATGAGAGAATTGATCTCAGTGATCTTTAAAGTCCCTTTCCACTCTGAAAATATGTTTCTGTGTTTGAGTGGGAGGCCAGAAAATGATGACTTTTAGTAGAAGTCTATTAAAAGTTTCAGATTGAATAACTAATATAAGATCCCAATTTTTCCTTTTTTTCATTTTAGATTTGGGGATATTCCCTGCCCAAAAATTTCCTGGAAAATTGACTAGTATTAAGTGTGAGTAAAAGGTGTCCACTTTTTTTAAGTTTTGATTTCAGTTTTGTCTTGGATAGTATTTGGCAAGATTTAGCCTAGAAATTATGTAGTATTTATTACGTGAGATTCAAATTGCTTTGTTACTGGGCTGGTTTCAAAATTTAGAACTCATTGCTATGTATCAAAATCGTTTTTTGTTTTTGTTTTTTTTTGAAATTCTTAAATGGTAAATGTACCATTGTGAAATGAAACTGCAACTCCAAAAGTTTACCCTTTTGCTAACTGGAGTAAATAGATAATTACAGTCTTTAGTTGTAGCCATCAAATAAAGAATTTTAAACTAGGCTGCGTAAGCAAGCCTTTTGTAGGGTCAATATTGAATGTGATGCCAGTGACACTGGTGTTTCTATAAAAGAAGAAAAAGTCTTCCCTTAGATAGAAGCTTTCTGTATTTTGACAGTGCCAGTTCAGGATGGCTATAATGCTGCTCTGCCTTCTACAGCTTGCTGCACCACTCTGTAGTTACTCTATAACCATACGTCTCTATCTTTTCTGGTTAAACACTCCCTGAAGATGATAAAGATGATGATGATGATGGTATACATCCATCCATATTATACACATTGATATGTGTGTAAGGATTTCCCTTCATCTTTATTTTGCAGGCTGGGCAAAATTTAGTGTAACATATTAGAGTACTTCCTGATACTTTGGTATAAGAGTAAGTTCACAATTTTTATAATGAACCCAAATCTAAAGGCTTTTGTAGTGCATTTTAAAAGGGAAAACTTACCCAAATGTTTTATTTCTACACATTTGTGGATATGTGTGTGTGTGTGTAAGCCAGTTAGTATATATGTATATGTATATTATATACATAAAACACTTCATGTTTTTACATACAAGTATGCTTTTATTATACAGATAATAAAGATGGGGGAAGGTTTCTGTTTTTTTCTTAATAGGTGAAGAAATCTTGAAGACCAGAAATTGGATCATATTGAATTTTGGTGTTCTTTTTACTTTTTTTTCTTTTTAAATCATATTGTTCGGCTATGGAAGATGGATTTTTCTTTTTTTTAATCCTTTGAATCTCAAGTTCATCTATAAATGAACTCTTTTTTTGTTTTTTGTTTTTTTTTTGGAGGAGATAACTAACCCTAGCTGTCTGCAGTCTGACAAAGGTTATTCGAATGGACTTAATCTCCCAGTAGTTGGGAGATGTTTTAAAAACACGTCCTGTGTTTGAATTGTGGCTGAGAGGTTTCCTTGGCAATGTGAGGAGGAAAATTCTTTCTGCCTCATTATTATTAATTCATGGATTGAGTGTTGGTTCGACCTACAGGCGTAAGATTGGAACTCAGTGAAGACACAGACGTTCCTGTTGAGAGCAACCAGCTAATGTAAGTGTGGAAATGAGTTTTTTCTCATTAAAGGAGTGAACATTTTTGTAATTTAAGGCATAATATTCCTGGATCAGTAAGAAATTAAATAGCGATTGTCAAGACATTTTTTCTTGTAATTGTTTACAAGCTTTTGGTTTTTGTATGGAATCCCCCCTTTTTGATAATGTGCATTATTAAAAAGGTAGAAATATAGCCAAGGTGCAATCTCCCTGTAATTTCATCTCCTCGGAGAAAAGCACCGTTAATAGTTTATCATGACATAGTTCCATGTGCAAAGGTTTTTTTTTACCCAGAGCTTATAAAAAAAAATACCATACATTTTCCCCCAATACTTGGATGGTTGTGTTAGGGATTTTAGTTATATGGCATTGTCTGTCTTCCTCCCATAAGCATAGTAGACGTTAAATATTGCTTGCCTTTTTGCTGAGTGCAGTTATGAATTCAGAATGTTTCTTAGTATAGTACTTTAATTAGTGAGCTAAAGCCTCTTTGCTATCTTTAATTTTATTCCCCTGGAACCTTTTTGTATGAAGTAGAAATTTTTTTCAACTGGTTGGCCAATTTTTTAATTTCACATGCCACTTTTTTCATAAATCACATTTATTCATGGACTCGCTTGAATTGTGCTCATTCATTTGCCAATATTACATTTAAATGTTACCTTTCACATCTACCTGTAATATCAGGTAGAGCAGGCCGTCTCATTCTTTTTAAAATTTTCTTTATTTTTCTCAGTTATTCTAGATGATTTTACAGTCTGTCAAGTTCCGATAACTAACTCTCAGTGAAATTTTGACTTGAATTGCATTCAATGTATACATTATTTGGGAAAGAAGTAAACTTCTTTAAGTCTCTTCTCCATTATCTCTCCATTATCCGGACCTTCTGTGCCTTAGTAGTTTCATAGTTTTTTTGGTTTTGTTTTTAATTCAGTGTGAGTCTTACACACTTCTTCATTTTCTTCCTGTATATTTTGTAGTTTTATTGTGAATAGGACTCTGTTATCATCAGAATGATTGCTACTGGCATATAGGAAATTTACTGTTTTTTTTAATATCTTATTATTTTAACTATTTTTTAGTTGATTGTTTGGTTTTCTAGTTTGCAAGCATATAACCTGCAGATACTAAACTTTTTGCCTCATCCTCTTTAGTCTTTAAGCCTTTTTTGCCTTATTGCGTATGCTGGACTCTGCAGAACAGTGTTGAATAATAGAGGAGAAAGAGTGTTCCTTTTTTGTTTGCCTTGAATGAGCTTACCTCTAGTGATTAAGTGCATTTATGCTAAGGAGGTTCCTTGTAATTTACTGACAGTTTTATCAGGAAGAGATTTGCATTTTAGCTTTTTTTATTTAAGCCAATTTAACTTTTAAAAAAATACTATTTTAAATCCTCTTTTTTTTTTTACCATTTTTTTCCGTTTTGAAATCTTAAGATACCACAGAGTTTTTGTTTTTGTTTTTACTCCCCTTTACTCTATTAATGTAATGAATTTCCTAATGTTAAACCTTTCTTAGTCCTGGAATAAACCTTCTTTTTGATTGTGTGTTACTCTTCTAATCTGCTGTGGTTCAGTTGGCTTTATTTAGGATTTATCAGCTGTATCATAAATCAAATGTACAATGCAGTTGTTTGACACTTTTTTAAAAAGCAGTGGAATAGAGCTGTGACATGGGTTTGTTCATTTTCTGCTTTTGAGTTCTTTTTCCTAAACTTTTTCTCAAGTTAGAATGCTTCCTTAAGTAATTTTTTCAAGAATATGTGGAGTACTCAGATGGTATAGTTTTTGAAACTTTTCATGTCTAAAAACTTCTTCCAAATGCTGAGATCTCCTTGAAATGTAGTTTGAAAGGCTAATTCTAAGGTCATAATCTCTCCTTTAAATTCTGGATGCATAGCATTTTGTCTTTTAGCATTTAGAGGTTCAGATAAGCAGTCACATGTCAGGTCTGATTTTCTTTCTTTTGTCATCAGTCTCCGTTTCCTAGAAGTCTGTATGATTCTGTCTTTACCATTGGAATTCAAAATTTTACTATATTTACAGTATAGTAGAGATGTCTAAAGAAAATTTCTGCCTGGCATTTGATGAGCCCCTTTTAATATAAGGACTCAAATTCATCCAGTTTAGTGAAATTTTCTTGTATTGTTAATATTCTCTCTACCAATTCTGTTCCTTTTAGAATTTTCATTGTATAGAAATTGAATCTTCTGGAATTATTTCCATGTTGTTTACCTTATATTTCATTTTGACATCTTTTTGCATTCTGGGAGATGTCCTGACGGTGATATCTTATTATTCAGTTATTGCGTTTTTTGTCAATGTTTATTCTGTTATCTATTCTTCTGTTGAAATATCTTTGGGGGAAAGAGGCTAGAAATTGGAGTTTTCTTATTTTTTAAGCTTTCTGTTGTTTGCATTCTTTTTTCCATAGCAATGTATGCATTCATATCAAGCTATATCCTTTAAAACTTGCTGAGAGAGCCAGCCCTGATGGTTTCGTGGTTGCAGTTTGGCATTCTTGCCACTTTGGCGGCCCGGGTTCGTTTTCTGGTCACAGAACCACACCACCCGTCTGTCAGTGGCCATGCTGTGGCGGCAGCTCACATAGAGGAACTAGAAGGACTTAAAACTAGGATATACAACCATGCACTGTGGCTTTGAGGAGGAAAAATTAAAAAAAGAGGAAGATTGGCAACAGATGTTAGCTCAGGGCGAATCTTTCCCTGCAGAAAAACAAAAAAAATTGCTGAAAGCATGAGGATTTTAAAAGAATTTCTCCTTTTTTTTTACATTAATTCAGGGATGGGGTGCTGGAGGGCCAATTATTCATCTTGACCTCGTGCTTTCAGACAGCTCTTTTCTGTTGTAATCAGTTTTTTCTTGGCATCTTGGATTTTTTTTTTCTTTTTTCTTTTTAAAACTTAAGAAATTTGTAAGTGTGCATCTTGGTTTTTGGTTTTTGCTTGGGGTAGTAGTGATTACTGTCAATATTTTATCTTAGAAATTTTTTTTGCCATTTTATTGACCAAGAATTATATCCTTTTTCTCCCCTCTAGTGAAAGCTGTAGAAGCTCAATATGTAAAATAGATATATGTAGGAGCTGTTCTGTTGAAACAGTAGTAAGGGAGTGCCCATCTACTCAAGTTTCAGTCTCTCCCTGCCCTGCCTACATCTGAGGGAGTTTTGTAGAACCTAATTTGAAGGAAAAAATGCAATTCATGCTATTTTGTTGCTATTTCACAAGTACGATTTTGTTGTTTGATCAGTATGTTGGGGGTCATCCTGCAACCAGCAACAGATTCATATATGTTCTTTGGGATGTTGGAATGAAATCGACATCTGAACCTTTTTTTTCCTTTCTAAAAAATTACTCTAAACCTTTTTCCTTCTCATCTGTGTAATACTTTTCCTTTTTGCATATGTGTCATTGTAATTATTTGAATATTCCTTAGAGACTTGATTCCATGTGAGGCAGTTTTTTAAATTAACTTTTTGTGTACTCTAGAATGCAGAATGTATTCTCTGGGTTTGGGGTCGGGGGAATCCTGCTGGTGGATCTGTGATGTGCTATTAAAGGTCTAACCCTTGTACCATTCTGTAGTGGATCAGCGATGGTTGCAATTTCAGTTAAGGCAAACTTAAATTTTTTATTATGTCTATGTTTCATTATATTAGAAAATTTAATGTTAATTCTGAGCATAAAACAAACTAATAAATAGCCACCTACATAATCCTACCACCCTGGCGGTAACTACTGCTAACATTTTGGTCTATGTTCTTCCAGACTTCTTCCTGTTGCTCCACATCCTCACCAGCATTAGGTGGTGTCGGTGTTGTGGATTTTAGCTGTTCTAAAAGGAATTTGCAGTCCCTTAATGATGTATGATGTTGAGTATCTTTTCATATGCTTATTTTCCATTTGTATATCTTTGGTGAGGTGTCTGTCGAGACCTTTGCCCATTTTTTAATTGGTTTGTTTTCTTATTGTTGAGTTTTAAGTGTGCTTTGTATATTTTTCACACCAATCCTTTATCAGTTATGTGTTGTGCAGTGATTTTTCTCTCGGTCTGTGACTTGTCTTTTTACTCTCTTAACAGTGCTTTCACAGAGCAGTAGTTTTTAATTTTAATGAAGTCCAGCTTATCAGTGTCTTCTTTCATGGATTGTGTGTTTGGTGTTGTATCTAAAAAGTTATCACCAAACCCAAGGTCACCTGGATTTTCTCCTATGTTATCTTCTAGGAGTTTTACAGTTTTGTATTTTATATTTAAGTCTGTGATCCATTTTAATTTTTGTGAAAGGTGTAAAGTCTGTGTCTACATAGATTCTTTTGCACGCAGATGTCCACTTGTTCCAGCATCACTTACTGAAAAGATTATCCTTTCTCCATTGAAATTGCCTATGCTCTTTTGTCAAAGATCAGTTGACTATATTTGTGATCTATAATAGTTTCCTAGGGCTGCCATAACAAAGTACCACAAACTGAGTGGCTTAGAACAAGAGAAATTTATTAGCTCACAGTTCTGGAGGCTAGAAGTCTGCAACGCTGTTGGCAGGGTCATGCTCTCTCTGAAACCCGTAGAGGAATGATCTTTCTTTGCCTCTTCTAGCTTCTAGTGTTTGCTGGCAATCCCTGGCATTTCTTGGTTTATAGATGCATCACCCTAGTCACATGGCCATCTTCTCCTTGTGTGTCTTCGCATCATCTTCCCCTGGTGCATGTATGTCCCCTTCAGTCCAAGCTCTCAGCATTTCTGCTGTGATGATTGATTGGATCCATAAGTCACACACCTCATCTCTTCAGCATACTGTTGTCCGACCACACACTTGGTGTTCCCTACAGAGCACACTTTCTCATTTTTGGCAATATGAGTAGGCTGAGAATTTTCCAAATATTCTGGTTCCTTTTTGCTGAGTAGTTCCTTCTTCAATGTATCTCTTTCCTCTTGTGTTTTACTGTAAGTAGCAAGGAGAAACCAGGCTATTACCTTCCACACTTTGCTTAGAAATCGGCTCAACTCCATATCCAAGTTCATCACTTAAAAATTCTATCTTCCATTCAACAGAACACAATTCAGCTAAGTTCTCTGCCACTTTATAACAGGGATTACCTTTCCTCCACTTTCCAGTAACGTGTTCCTCATTTCCATCTGAAACCTCACCAGAAGCACTTTTGAGTGTTTCTAGCAGCAGTTTCTTCTAAGCTTTTTCTATCAAGTGCCTCCAAACTCTTCTGGCCTCTACCCATAACCCAATTTCAAAGCTACTTCCACCTTTTTAGACCTTTTTTTTTTTTATTTACAGCAGCACCCCACTTCCCAGTACCAAAATCTGTAATGGACTGCATATTGTCACATTACATGAATGTACCATAATTTTTTTAAACAGACTCCAGCTTTTGAACATTAGGTTTCACTATTAGAATCAAGATGGTGATGAACTTTCTTATACATTATTACCTTGTATATTTGTTGAATATTCACCTTAGGATAAATTCTAGAAATGCAGTTGTGAGTCAAAGAGTATGCAGGTTATAAGGGTTTTAGTATATGTTCAGTTAGTATATGTTTACTCCTAACCTAGGTTGCTGACTTCAAGGCTGGTTTTTATCATGGCCTGGTATTCTTGGATTATGATTTTTAGTGGAAGATATGATTGAATTTGATTTCATTAATTTCAAGTTGCAGATCAGTGTTTCTGAAACCTGATCTTCTGGTGTAGAAGTTTGTAGAAACCCCTTCCAGATTTTGACATGTGCTCTGGTCATGTGTTTTCACTTTTGTAGAAGCTTTCTTGAACACTTTAATGTGAGGGACAGGGACTGGGGAGAGGGAGGGAGTGTTGGTTGTTTTGTTATTAGAGGTAATTGTTTCACCAGTTATTCTAGTAAGACAGTTTTTCCCACCTACTTATAATTATATACTTTTGAAATAACAATGCTTGTGAAAATATTGGAGCTTTTGTCAGATGAAAAAAATCTAAAGTAATCTAAGTGCTGTTAATAATCATTTGTTGAGTTAGCAATGCTTATTTAATTGTATGCTGAAACAATATAACAAGCACCACGGAGAATACAAAAAAAGAAGGGAGTGGCTATCTTTATCAAAATTTTCACATTGTAGATGAGTATGCACAATATTCACATAAGAATGAAATATGAATCAGTGTTCACAAGGCTCTGTATAGGCAAGTATGTATTCATATAATTAAAATTTGGTTTTAACAGTGTGATCTCATTAGTCAAGGTGATTTGGAGGAGAAAGTTGGAAGAATTTACCTGAAATACTTTAATTCATTGTCTCCTCGTTTTAGGATTACATTTTAAAGACGATTTCTGTGATTGAGTTGTCATTTGGAAGATTAAACCCATTTCAAGAGGACGCGGAGCTTGTCCTCGCCTTGAGGAAGCAGTGGCTTGTTTTCAAGAAGCCATTTCTGTTCTAAGGATCTACCCAGCATGTCTAATCAAGGAGAAGACTGCTATTTTTTTTTCTATTCTACATGTACCAAAGTAAGAATTGGCATCTCTAAATCAGTTCTTTCTGTGATTTCCCTAATAAAATTAGATAAAATTTTCACAAAATACTAAGTTGTTTTTATGTTTTGTTTTGCTCATGAATGGGCGGGTTGTATTGTAGAAACTGTCATGGGTTGAATTTGACTTTTTTCTTCCGATTTCCTGCTGAGTACTAAAGCCATCTTATTTCTAAATATGCTTTTGTAGCTTTTTATTTTGTCAAAACTTCTTGTTTTTCTGCTTGATTCTTCTGCAGCTGCATTTAGATCTGTCTGCTGTTTTCTGTGACTTTATGACTAATTGTATAAGTGTATATTTTGTTAGAAAAACTTTTCTTAAGTCATCTTGGTACTATGTTTGAAATCAGTAGTTTGAGCAAAGCTCTGATCTCATATAGCAGTTTGCACAACAGTAGCATTTTGTTTCACATTATTACCATTGTATAAAGTATACAGTGAAACCTGGAAGTATCCTTAAATCCTCATCTATTAATTTACTTTCTTATTTTCCATCAAAAGCTGGTTACACAAGTCGGGATATATGAAACTGTTTTAAAGATAAACTGTAAAACATATTTTTAAATAGTACCTAATACTCCCACTTTTCTTTTTCAGCCCCATCTCCCAGCTTGTGTCACTCATGTTGTCATATCAGATGAAGGGTACTGTCAAGAAATAGGTTGTAGGAAATTATAAATTTGTTGACCTCAGATTGTTCTTGTCATCCCATCTCAGTTATTTTCTACCTTGCCTGTCTCTCCTTACCCTTTTGTGTTTGTCTAGATGCCAGGAAACTCTTAATAATCAGCATTTTTACCTGGGATCTACTTTGGTACCGTAGTTCTTTTCTGTATTGTTCTCTTTGTTTACAGGGTGACAGCTGTCAATTTCGTCACTGTGAAGCTGCACTAGGAAATGAAACTGTTTGCACATTATGGCAAGAAGGGCGCTGTTTTAGACAGGTGTGCAGGTTTCGGCATATGGAGATCGATGTAAGTTTTCAATTTGTATTATGATAAGTAGTCTGGTGTCATGGGCAAATAAAAAACGGGAAGAATGACATTTTATGTAACACGTGGGTTAAATTTTTCTTAATGACCTAGTGAAATTTCTGTGATTATTGTAATGCTCACTTAATATCTAGATGTTATGGGATATGAATTGATATCATTTTTCTGGAAGGCAGTTTGGTAATATATCTAAAGTGTAAAAATTATATATGTATATTTGGGGAGTATTTGTATTTCTGTGTTTATTTTAAAACAGTCTCAAACTTAGAGAAAAGTTGCAAATACAGTAATAAAACTTATTTTTCTAAGCCATTTGGGAGTAAATTACTGACATTGTCTATCACCTTCAAATACTGTAATGAGTATTTCCTACAAACAAGAAGGACACTCTCCTGCATAACCATAATACAAATGTCAAAATTAGAAAATTAACATTGATATATTACTTTCGTTTAATCCTCAGATCTCATTCAAATTTTGCCATTGTACCAGTAATATCCTTTATTGCAGGAGGAGCAAATCCAGAATCAAGTGTTGCATGTAGTTGTCATGATTCTTCAGTCCCCTTCAATCTAAAACAGTTGCTCAGTCTTTCCTTGCCTTTTGTTGGCATTGACACTTTTGGTAGTTATAGGCCAGTTATTTTGTAGAATGTCCCTCAATTTGTGTTTGTCTGATATTTCCTCATTACTGAATTCAGGTTGTGTATCTTGGGCAGGACTATCACAGAGGTGATATTTTTCTCATTACATACCATTAGGTGGCATACAATTTTAATTATTCCATTACTAGTGATGTTAACTTTGATCACTTCATTAAGGTAGTATCTACCAGATTCCTTCACTATAAAGTTATTCTTTTTGTGATTAATAAGTATTTTGTGGAAAGGTACTTTGAGACCTCTGATTATTTCATTTCTCATCAAACTTTTAATTTTTTTCCAGTTATTTATTTGTATTTGTGTGAACTCATGGTTTCCTATTTTATTCAATGTGTTGTACCCCATTACTGTCATTATTTTTTATTATCTTCAAATTGACCCAGATTTGGCCAGCAAGAGCCCTCCAAGCTGGTTTTTTGTATCCTTTTGATGTTTCCGCCATTTTTTAAACACCTCTTAGCTTTCTGGCCAAGAAGATTTTCCAGGCTCATCCTGTACTTTTCCTCCTCCTCCCTTGGAATCAGCCATTTCTCCAAGGAGCCCTGGTTCCTTTTAGTGAAGAATGGTATGTAGAAATAAGATTTGGGCTGCTCCTGGAGTGTCACTGCTTCCAGGCCCACAGTGAACAGAACAAGGGAATATATAAATATATATACATACACACATTTACATCATTATTTATTACTTTATGTACTGAAAATCATGAGTTCACATAGATGCCTCCAATTCACCAGCAGTACAGAGTTTAGTCTGGGCTTCTCCTTTTCCATGCTTGTAACTCTCTTCTCCAAAAGTGAGAAACTCAGTTCCCATTGTCCTTAATATTATTTATTCGATCAGTCCCCTAATTGTGTAAACCAATATTGTATCACAGCCTCTTCCTTCCTCTCAGGCTGTGACATCACACATGAGGCTACCCTTCCATGGGGACATCGTTCTCACCTTGTTTCAATTCCAACACCCTGTGCCAGGCCTATCCCTTTGCTCCACTTTGAGGACGCCTTTCTTAGGCTGCTTGGACTCCAACATCCAACTCTGGACTGCTCTTCCCCCCGATGGATGCCCTTTTCACATGCTTTGGTTCTGGTACTCTGTGTTGGGAAGCCCTCCCATGTGAGCTACTTCCTCTCACCCGGCTCATTCTTCAGCTCTGCACCAGGTCCCCACTTCTGCCTTCCTAACCCTGCATTAAGATCCCTTCTGCACAGAAGCCTTGCTCACCCTCCTCAGGCTTCAGCACTGCACTAGGCCACCCTTCTATGCAAATGCCCTGCTAAACCCCTCATGGGTTCTGACACCTTATGCCGGTTCCACTTTGTCACGTGGACACCTTCCTCATCGCAGTCAGGCTCCAATACCCTGCTCTCAGCCACATACCCTTCCCTCTCCCGCTGTGAATGCCTTCCTCTCTCAGCCTCACCTAATGACTTTGGACTGAATTGTTTGAGAGGGGATGGGGAAAGAAGGAAGAGACTAAATATGCAATTTGTATGCCTGGGATCAGACAGCTACTCCAGTTTGGTTCCAGATTGGTAGTTTCTTAACTTCATTCTATGCTGCCTGTCTCCAAATAGCAGGGAATTCACTAAGTCCATTCAGAGAAAGAAATACTCTGCAACTTTTGGAAATCCTGTTGTAACATTGCTGGCAGAGTGTAAATTGGCACAACCCCTAGGAAAGGTATGTCAGAGTCTCTGAGAACATCTACATTTAAGATTCTCTAGACGAACTCATGGGACTCAGCATATAGTTGTATTATTCATGGTTAAGATTTATTACACTGACATAGTAAGGATACACTGATCATAAGAGAATAAGATACCGGCAGAGTCTGGAGGCATCCATGTGTGGGTTTCTTTATGGTCTTTCCCTCCCACAAGGGGTCACGCAGAGTACACACTACCCCCAGCGATGAAAATGCAGCAGCGTGGGTGGGATGTTTCTGCCCAGGGAAGCCCATTAGAGATTCAGCATCCAAGGTTTTTATTGGGCTGGTCACATAGGCACTCTCTATTTAACACATACCAAAGCTCCAGACTCCTGGAAGAATGGCAGGTGTTCAGCATAAGCCATATTGCTTGCACAGTGTAGGTACAGTGATCAGTTGACTGACTAGGAACATTCTGAGAGCCAAGTTCCCACATGCCAGCCAAGGACCAACCTTGTAAGGAGGCTGTCTAAGGATAGCAGTCATAAAGCTACTCTATTAACTCCTTTCTGCACAGGATTATTTGGTTGCATCTTTAAAAACTACTAAATGGTTATGCCTTTGTCTCATCTGTACTCCTATGTGCAGAATGAGATATATGCAGAATTACTAGTTATAGCATAATTTGTAATAGTAAAATATATGAAACAGCCTAACTTTCATTTAAAATAAATTTTACTACATTGATACAGTGGAGTGCTGGGCAACTGTTAACAAAAAATTTTAAAAGGGAGACTACTTATTAATTGATATGGAAAGATCAGGACATATTGTCAGTGAAAAAGCAAGGGGCAGAATAAGGTGTGTAAATATGCTAACATTTGTGTAAAAAAGAGGGAAAAGAATTTATATTTGTTCTTCACTGGCATATGCATTTAAAAAATCTCTGGAAGTATAAAGGAGAGACTTAATGACTATAGGGCAGTGGGGACAGGAATGGGAAGGAGCCTTTCTACTGCATACTCCTTCTGTATGCAATTGATTTTCATTATTTGTGGGTTCCACATTTGCAAATTCGCCTAAACTTACTCGCTGAAGTTTATTTATAACCCTCAAGTCAATACTTGCAGTGCTTTCATAGTCATTCACAGACACATGCAGAGCACGGAAAAATTTGAGTCGCCTGATATACATACACACTCCCAGCTGAGATCTGAGATCAAACAAGGCGACACTCTGCCTTCTTCAGCTCTCATACTGTAAACAAATGTCCTTTTCAAGGTCCAAGTAATGCCATATTTTTTTGCAGTTTTGTGCTTTTTGTTGGTTATTTTGCTGTTTAAAATGGCCGCCAAGTGTAGTGCTGAAGTGCTATGTAATGTTCCTAAGCGCAAGAAAGCTCTTATGTGCCTTATGGAGAAAATACACGTGTTAGATAAGCTTCATTCAGGCGTGAGTTAACAGTACTGTTGGCGTTTAGTCTAATGTTAATGAATCAACAATATTTATTAAATGAGCAGTGTTTAAACAAAGACACACAGAAAACAAGGTTATGTAGTGACCAGTTGATGAAAATATTGTGACCAGAAGCTTGCAGGAACCTAGCTCTTGATTTTCCTTAGGAGCAGTCTGGTTCAGCATTCACTAATTCAGTATTCATGGTGACTTTATAGAACATAACTGCTGCAAATAATGAGCATCAACTGTATATCTTTGGACCATGTGCTGTAATACGTATTAAAAGTTTAAAGAAATAATCATGTAGGAGAATGTTAAAGTGAAAGAATTCTATACCAAATAAGTGATTCTCTTTGAATAGTAGCATAACAGGCATTTATTTCCATTTTCCAAGTTTTCATTGCTTGTTTATAACTTTTCATTTAGAAACAAAATCCAGTAAGTATTAAACAGATCAAATAAATGTCATGTGACTCCTGTATATAGAGGCTATTATTATAGAAGTTATCCAAGAATTTGAAATTTACTTCCAGGAAAGAAGTAAAAACTTAAGCAAAGACAGACCCAGGAGCAAGGAAGATAGGCGTTAGGTTGTGCCTTGAGGAAGGAGTAATCAAGGAGTTATTGCTATTCCTATCTTAAAAACAATGGTAGCTGTTATACCTACATTTTGGGTATGATTAATAAATTCTATATAATTCTTTGGAAGGTAAAGATATTTTGCTGTACTTTTAAAAAATAGATAATCATGCATGTGGCAATACTCTGGACATAAAATTTTTAAATAGTTTTTACCAAATTGCCTTTCAGAGATGTTAAGCTAACGCGCATCTCTGTTATATGGGACTGCATGATTCTTCCACACCCCTACCAACACAGTGTATTATCAAATTATCAGTCTCTCAATATAGTACATTTTGGTCTTTGTCCTATTTGATACATTCAAGGATCTTTTTGTGATGGTCATTGTTTCTCTCCTCCATATTTTTAAATTTCTGAAGTAATGCGCTGTTCTTTCCTGGAATTTTAAACTTAGGCTGCTTGTTATGATGAGAGATCCAACGTAATGCAGGTTATTAATCAGAGATTAGTTACTTTTTGGAAGTGCTTATCGGGTCTTTTTTTTTTCTTTATTGAACTATTTGTTAAAGTATATATAGAAATGTGCACAAATCATAATCTTACAACTTGAAGAATTTTCACAAAGTGAGTATACTTACTTGACCAGCACCCAGATCAAGAAATAGAGCATTTCCAACCCTCTGTCTTCCCCCTCATCCCTTCATTGTCACTAACCACACCCTGAAAGCTAATTACCATCCTGACTATTCTTTCATAGAGAAGTTTTGCCTGTTTTGATTTTTACATAAATGGAACCATACAGTATGTATACGCTCTCTTGTATCTGGCTTCTTTTACTCTACATCTGTGGTATTAAGTGTAGCAATTGTTTATTCCTTCTCATTACTACGTAGCATTCTATTGTATGAGTACACAAGGATGTATTTATCCAGCCTAGTGTTGATGTACCTTTGGGTTTCCATTTTGGAGCTGTTACAAATAGTATTGCTTTGAACATTCTTTATACACATCTAATGTATATACTAGAACTAATGTGTATATTTGTTGGACATATATCTTATGATCCAGCAGTTTATTCTAGATGTGCAAGTATTCTTTTTTTTTTCTCATTCTCTTTCATAAGAGGTAGCTTGGGAAGGAAAAATACCATCCTCAGTGTGTCGCATGTGCCTTACTTTGAGAAGTCACGAATGGGAAAATTTTTCTCAAAGTCGAACTCTCAGCTTCAAATAGCTACAGTTTATCGGTCCTTTCTGTGTGTTAATAAATGCTTTATGTATATTATTTCATTTAATCCTCATAAGAAACCAATTAGATTGCTACTGTTATTCCCATTTTATAGCTGAGGAAGGTGAGACTCAGAGGCATTAAATTGTTTGTCCAACATCACATGGCCAATGAGTAGCATACTAGAGATTCAAACCCGGTTATCTTTGATTCCATAATTTTAACCAGTGTCTTATCCTGCTTCTTTAAATTAAGCGTAGACATTTAGGGGCTACAGGATAAGGGCAAGGAGGAAAGAATAGCAGATAAACTACTTCTTTGCTCCCTTTATCTTTCCGTCATGCTAGAGTACGTCACTTTCAGCAGCTCCTCTTCCTCCTGCTCAGAGTCATCACACATGCCTCAGATTTTTGAACCCTGTATGAACTTTGCCCAGAAAACAAATCACCACATTAATGCAGGTCACACTTCTTTTTTTTTGGTTAGGAAGATTGGCTCTAAGCTAACATCTGTTGCCAATCTTCCTCTTTTTTTTTTTTGTGAGGAAGATCAGCCCTGAGCTAACATCCATGCCAATCCTCCTCTTTTTGCTGGGGAAGACTGGCCCTGAGCTAACATCCATGCCGATCTTCCTCTTTATGTGGGACGCCGCCACAGCATGGCCTGACAAGTGGTGCGTCACTGCGCACCCGGGATCCGAACCTGGACTGCCAGCAGGCGGAGCGCGCGCGCTTAACTGCTATGCCATGGGGCCGGCCTGCCAATCTTTCTCTTTTTGCTTGAGAAGATTCGCCCTGAGCTAATATCTGTAACAGTCGTCTTCTGTTTTTTGTATGTGGGATGCTGCCACAGCGTGGCTTGCTAAGTGGTGTGTAGGTAGGTCCACACCCAAGATCCAAACCCACAAACCCTGGGCCGCTGAAGCGGAGTGTGTGAACTTAACCATTGCGCTACCAGGCCAGCCGTACACTTTGTTTTTTTATTTGAAAACAATGTATTTTTCCCTCTTACAGAAAAAACGAAGTGAGATTCCTTGTTATTGGGAAAACCAGCCAATGGGATGTCAAAAACTAAACTGCGCTTTCCATCACAACAGAGGACGTTATGTTGATGGCCTTTTCCTACCTCCAAGCAAAAGTGAGATTCATTTTTAATTTTAAAAGAATATTATATATATAATGAACACATACTATGCACACTGTACAAAGTACTTTATATATATTGCCTTTTTTTAGTCTTGTGAGAGAGTGGTATTATTTCCACTTTACAGATGAGGGAACTGAACTTTATTAGGATTAAATGACTTTTACGTAGTCATAAACCAGTAAGTAGCAGAGTCATGATTAAAACTTTGTTGCCAAAAGCCATACTGCCTCACAAATGTTTCTTGGCACACGGTTTAGATTATTATAGTTTACTTCATTCCCATTTTCTTATCAGAACCATAGAGGTTTTCAAAAGAAACTTGACTTTTCAGGCCAGGGGTTGGCAAATCTAGTCCTCTGTTTTGTAAAATAAAGTTTTATTGGAATGAAGCCATGCCATTCGTTTATATATTTTCTATGGCCAAATTTTGTGCCACTGCTGCAAAGTTGAATAGTTGAGACAGAGATCTGTGAAGCCTAAAATATTTATTATCCAGCTCTTTTTTTTTTTTTTTTTAAGATTTTATTTATTTTTTCCCGCCAAAGCCCCAGTAGATAGTTGTATGTCATAGCTGCACATCCTTCTAGTTGCTGTACGTGGGACACGGCCTCAGCATGGCCGGAGAAGCGGTACGTCGCTGCGCGCCCGGGATCCGAACCCGGGCAGCCAGCAGCGGAGCGCGCGCACCTAACTGCCAAGCCACGGGGCCGGCCCTATCTAGCTCTTTATAGAAAAAGTTTGTTAACCCTGCTCTAGGCTGTAATTTAAAATAAAACTTACAGTACCAAAAGCTAGTATTTATTTCCTAAGTCCCTTTAAAAGTAATTTCCTAGTGAAATGATCAGCTACTTAAAAGCCGCATGTGCCATGTGATAAAATTTGATGGCTACATATTTTCACCTCTAAAGGAAAAAAGTAGGCTCACTCCTTTCTGGTTTGGTTCAAAGTGTTACCTACTATTTCTTAAAAGCCATTTCTTGCTGAGCAGAAAGCCTAGAATTTCAATATTAAAATTAAATGTCTAGAATTTGCAAATAGTTACTATGCATCTAGCCCTCCCATTTATTCTATGTTTTGAGTGCCCAGTTTGAGTGTGTTTACGTACAGTGAAGTTATTAGCTAAAAAGCCATATTTTCTCTCCCTGGGAGTTTAGAACCTAATTGGGAAAATGGAGAAATTAGGTAAAAAGACAAATGCTCGTAAGGAAAATGCACCAAACTTATCATAGGTAGTTGTGGATTTTTGGTGAATTGAGACTGTATCTTCTATTTTTAGTTTATGACTAATTTTGTACGTCTAGCTCTGTTGCCCACTGTGCCTGAGTCACCAGAAGAGGAAGTGAAGGCTAGCCAGCTCACAGTTCAACAGAACAAATTGTCTGTCCAGTCTAATCCCTCCCCTCAGCTGCGAAGTGTTATGAAAGTAGAAAGTTCAGAAAATGTTCCTAGCCCCACGCATCCACCAGTTGTAATCAATGCTGCAGATGATGATGAAGATGATGATGGTAAGTTGTAGCTTTTTCTTTAAGGCAAATAAATGATCTGGGTCACTTAGTGAATTAGACAGAGTGAGGATTAAAGCTCTAGTCCTCCTTGTAATTGTAAATTTGCCTTAAATGTTGATAATATAGATCAGTTTTCTGAGGAAGGTGATGAAGCCAAGACACCTACCCTGCAACCAACTCCTGAAGTTCATAATGGATTACGAGTGGCTTCTGCCCGGAAACCTGGGGTCAATTTAAAACAAGGTAAGAAGACGCAATGTTGATGCTGGTTTTCACTCATAAATCTTACAGCACTATTGAATGTGTCCAGACTATTTTAAATACTTTCGAAATTTAGTTCACTATCACCAGCACCTCCCACTTCCCTACCCCTTTTGTGCGCACA